GCTTGCCAGGCAGGCGCTTTGCCGCTGAGCTAAATCCCCAGCGCCCTTTTTTGGTCTTTTTGAAACAGGGTCTCACTATGCAGTTCAGGCTGGCCTTGAGCTTACTTTGTAGCCCAGGCTGGTCTCGAATTTACAACAATCCTCCTGCCTCAGCCTCCTGAGTGCTGGGCTCATAGGCGTGTGCCATTCTGCCTTGCTATAAACATTTATTTTTAAAAAAACGATTATCCCTTCCCTGAAGAGGCCTAATCTCATACACATACACTCACACTCTCACACACCTCTGCTCCCATGGTGATGCCCACAACCAGAGTGCTTTGCATCCTGGGTGTGTAACTGGCATCCTCCCATCTGGCCTCCATCTGTCTCAGCTCTTCAATTACAAGGAATAATACCTTCTAGTTCCCTTCATCTGTAGTTTGTTCATTTTTGTTTTATTTTTTGTTGTTTTGTTTTTCCTAATAATTGTTATTCATAGCCAGGCATGGTAGCACAAAGCTATAATCCCAGCAGTCCTGCGTCAGAAAGATCACAAGTTTGACCTGAGTCTTGTGAATTTAATGACTTAGTGAGACCTTGTCTCAGAATTTAAAAAATAAATGGCCTGGGGATATAGCTCAGTGCAAAGGCCCTGGGTTTAATCCCTAGTTATTCATTGATGGGTATGTGGGGTTTAGGCATAAATTTAAGCATTTTAAAGTGGTTTTACCAGAAGTCAGATTATTACACTCCTTGCATTGTTTGCAGTCTTGGCAGGTTTAAACTTCACACACACAGGGGTTGGGGATTTAGCTCAGTGGTACAGTGCCTGCCTGGCAAGCGCGAGGTCGTGAGTTGGATCCCTGGTACCGGAAAAAACAAAAACAAACCCAAAAGCTAAACTTCACACACACAGCCCTTGGATGCTCTTCCTCATAGGAGTAAGTACAGGCTTGTGTGATCCTACCCACCCACCCTTCTGTTACTTTTGCTGTCCCCTTCCCTCCCACTTCTGAATATACTTCTGTCTGGGCTGACCCTGGACCCTACTTCTCCTGTCTCCAGCAAAGCCTTCATTATACCATTCTTTTTTCTCCCCACTTTTAAGATAAGTGTCCCCTCTATTCAGAAAGATGTTAACCATATTTGGGTATCCTTGCAGCATTCTCTTGGTTGTTTGTGGCCCAGATCCCTGGGGTGTAGCCCTCTGGTGGAAAGGGACCGTGTCTGTCAGCCCTCAGGCATCAGTCAGGTTGCTGGGTTGGACAAGCAGGACTCTAGTCCAGGGACTCAGTGCTTGCTGTACTGGGATTTTTGGCTCTTTGATTTCTTGCAGAATGTTGCTATAAATGTTATAAGTGAGGGGTTGAGGGGAGAGGAGAGGAATGGGGGGAAAAAAGAAGATTCAAGTTATATCATACAGGTATAAATTCTCTACTTGATCATTGTATATACCTAAAATGTACCAATAGAATCTGATTGGAAACTGAAAAATGAATGAGTGACTGAATGAATGAATGTATGTTATAAATAACCTGGGTGGTGCTCTTTCCACAGGTACATTCTGGTTGACTGGCTGGTAGAAGTTGCCACCATGAAGGACTTCACAAGCCTGTGCCTTCACCTGACAGTGGAGTGTGTGGACCGGTACCTGAGGAGGAGGCTGGTGCCCCGGTACAAGCTCCAGCTGCTGGGCATCGCCTGCATGGTCATCTGTACCCGGTGAGAAGCCCATTGGTCCAGCCAGCAGGGCTGGTGTTTGAATATGCTGGCTCTTCTTGGAGGTCACTGTCCTTCCTGTCCTAGTGGCTAGTTCATAAGGGAAATAAGTCTTAAGGGTCCCATCTGACTCACAGATGGGGATGGCAGAATTGACTCTTGACATGGCCATTATACAGGTACATGTGTCCAGGTAGCTTATCTCGGCATATGGTCTCAGAACCCAGAGCATGAACTCAAACAGGCACAGCCTGGACCATATCTCCCCAGGCTCCTGAGGGTGGTGGTACCAAGGGTCACAGCTGGCTGCCTTCCTCCTCTTTGGTCTTCAGAGTTCACAGAGAGAACTATGTCTCTGAGGTTAAGTTTTCTTGTTTTCCTAAACCAAACATTCCCAGCATGAGCCACCACTTCCAAGTCGTCGGAAGTACGTTCCGGACCCACTGGCCTTGGCTGGGAGGCTCAGTGAGTAAGCAGTAGATTTGGCTGCACTTAGCAGTGATAACTGCAGGGATTTATTTCTGTCTTGCATAGCAGCCTAGAGGCAAAGATCCAAGGTCACTGGGATGTTTTTTATCTCAGGAGGCCATGAAGGAACCCTAGCTATCATTTTGCTCTCTGCCACCCGCCAGTGGCTGCCCTTGTCCCCGTGATGTGCCACAGCGGCTGTGTCCACCTTCTCACGCATTGCCACATCTAGCCAAGACAGAAGCTGTAGTCCCATTGGATGGCTGTGTGCCAGCTCAAAGCAGGTCATAGTAACACAGAAGGGAGTGAGGAATTCAGGGTCAGTGAGCAGACCCTGCCGCACCCAGCCCAGAATCTCTTCATATGCCAGGTCTTCTGGCACCATTCCAGGTGTTCTGACCAGATGCTGAAGAACAGGTGGGGCTGCTGCCTCCCTGGATCTCACAGCACAGTTACATCATTGCAGGCTCAGATCCAGTTATTGGGCTACAGACAAGCAGATTGTAACTTCTGGAAATGGTTTAAGGCTGAGATGTGCCAGCTGTGCCATCAGGGTGGCACTAGCCCCTGTCCTCCCTTGCCCCTCTCCCCACCTTAGACTCCACTGCAGGGCTCTTAGCAGCCCATTCACATCCGCTCTTTCGTGCATGTGTGACCTTTGTGCTGGGAGGTGTACTCCCTGTCTCTTCTGTCCTGTCAAGCCAGTGACAAATATGCAAACTCTAGAGACCCAGGACAAGCAGCAAACTGGCCCTGGTCCATTCTCACCAGGGAGATCATCTTCAAGGCCTCTGGAGTAGGATGTTCCCTCATGGTTGGCATTGCCAGACAGTAGAGGGTGCCCCCATCTCCCAGACAATCAGAATTCCTGCACCAGCTGCCATGTTGTGTACAGACCTTCAGATACCCTCTAGGCCCTTTACCTCTAACTGTTGGTTCCAATGGCTCACTTACCTTCTGAGCTGAAAGAGTTTCTACTCTAATTGATAGACACTGTCAAAAGATAGGGTGATACTAAGAGGTTGAGGCTGGAAGATTAAAAAGTTCAGGGCTAGCCTGTGCAACTTACCAAGACCCTATCTCAAAATAAAATCTTTTTGGTACCAGGGATTAAACCCAGGATCTTCACACTGAGCTATATCCGTCAGACCTATTTTCTTTTTTTATTTTGAGACAGGATTTTGCTGAGCCACTAAGCTGTCCAAGCTAGGCTGGAACCTGTAATTCTCTTGCCTTAGCCTCCCAGAGTGCTAGTTACAGACATGGGCTACTACTCCTGGCATCAAAATTAAAAAAAAAAAATTTTTTTAAGGGCCTGGGTAAGTATCTCCATCATAGAGTGCTCACCTAGCATATATAAAGCCCTGTGTTTAATCCTTAGTACTGCACACAAAAAATTAAGGTACAGTCTAGGGGTGCCAATTAGTAGTAGAGCATTTGCCTTGCATATGCAAGGTCCTGGGTTTGATCCCCAGTAGCATCCGAGAAAAGAAAAGCCAGAGGTGGTGGCATATGCCTATAATTCCAGTATTCAGGAGGCTGAGCAGGAGGATCATTGTGAGTTGAAAGCCAGCCTGGGGTACATAGTGAGTTCAAGCCCAGCCTGTAATACATAGTGAGACCTTGTCTCCAAAAAAAAACCGCAAACCAAAAAAGGGCAAATCCCTGTCTCTAAGGTCATCAGGAGAACTGAATGATAGTCACTCATGGGGCCTTTTGCAGAGATAGATGTGCCTGATCAATAGCCCTTCCTCTCCCACTCTGCCTCTACATCCAGGCTCAAATCTTTCTTCTTTCCAGTACCTTGTGACCATCATTCCCTTTAATGTTCCTTACTGCCCAGAGGCAGCTGGATTCATTGTATAGCCTTGCTTTGGCACTGAAGCTCAAAGTCATCATGCTCTCCTTACCATGAGGCCTCCCCAGAGCCCTGGACCACCCAATTCCTATCCCTGCCTCAGGAGATGAACTCGGGGCTAAGCCCCCATCTCTATGTTCCAGGTTCATCAGTAAAGAGATCCTGACGATTCGAGAGGCCGTGTGGCTCACAGACAACACATACAAGTACGAGGACCTGGTGCGGATGATGGGAGAGATCGTCTCGGCCCTGGAAGGGAAGATTCGAGTAAGTGGGAGTTTCTTTTGTCTCCCTGCTTGGGTCTTGGGAGTAGGAAGAGCTGAAAACACCCAGCTTTCCTGCTCTGGAAGATCCTCTGGACCCAGGGGCCAGCTGTCTGTGCCATGCCCAAAGCCACGGCTACAGTGCATCATGACATGCTGTGATGCCCTGAGCGAGGACCGAGTCCCTGCTGGGCTGTTGCTTGCTGTGTTGTTGATGGAAAAGAGCCCACATCCACCTTCTTTTGTCTAGATCCCCACTGTGGTCGACTATAAAGAAGTCCTGCTGACGCTGGTCCCCGTGGCACCCAGAACTCAGCACCTGTGCAGCTTCCTCTGTGAGCTCTCTCTGCTGCACACCAGCCTGTCTGCCTACACCCCAGCCCACCTGGCCTCTGCAGCCCTGCTTCTGGCCAGAGTGATGCATGGGCAGAGTAAGGAGTGGCCCCTCTAGGGAATTGCTGGTGGCAAGGAAAGGGTGGTGGGACAACAAGAAATTTGTGCCCAGCACATAGTGGCATATGCCTGTAATCCCATCATTTCTAGGAGGCTGAGGCAGGAGGATTGTAAGTTTGAGCCCAGCCTGAGCAACAGTGATATATATAGTGAGATCATATCTCAAAATAAAATTGTTCAAAAGGACTGGGGATGTAGCTCAGTGTGAAAGCCCTAGGTTCAGGCCTCAGTATTACGAGGGGTGGGGAGGCAGCTTAGGATTGGGAAGTGAGAGATGGTTCTAGTTTGTTTCCCAAATCTTTGACAAAAATGCATGTTCTATATGGAGACTAGTCAAAACCATTTTGAAGAACTGCAACTTTGAGCTCCTAGAATGTAACCTGCAGGTTCATGGCGTGGGGATGGTCAGACAGCCATTGCATTCCTGGCCCTGCTTTGCTCCCTAGCACAGCCCTGGACCACTCAACTGTGGGACCTCACTGGGTTCTCCTGTGAAGACCTCATGCCCTGTGTCTTGAGCCTACATAAAAAATGGTGAGTCTGAGGCACGAAGTCATAGTGATTCATACCTGTAACCACCCCCGAAAAGGTAAAAGGCTGGGGATATAGCTCAGTGGGTTTTTCAGTCCCCAAAACCATCAAAAAAAAGTGGTAGATCTGTAAGGAAATGTGTCCTCTAGCCAGATTGTGCCAAGTAGAGGCTCAAGTTCCATTCAGCCCTTTGTGTCTTTATGTGACCGCTCTCAGTCAATGCACAGATCTTTCCTCAGTGAATTTCATGCAAGAAACATCTTTAAGTTGACATTTTAAAATTTCAGGGCCATGCTTCACACATTTTTTTCATAGTTCACAGAATTTCACACATTTTTCACATGGAGCCTCTGACTGAGGAAGTGGAATGCAGCAGGCAAGCAGACCCTCACTGCTAGTCCCATCTGTGCCTGTCTTGCTGCCCACCCCCAGCCTAGCTGTGATGGCTTGTTGTGCTCCAGACCTTGGGGTCCTGCTGCCTCCTTGTCTTCCCACAAGGTGTCAGGTGGCAAAGGACCCTGGAGGAAAAGAAACTGTGGAGGATGCTGGTGCTTGAGAGGACCAGGTTCCCCTAAAGAAAGTGCAAATGCAAAGAGGGCGGCTCTTGCAGGTCAGCAAGACTATTGGCTGTGTGCAAGTCTGGGGCACGTGGGCTGAGTTTGAATCTAACTATGAGTGGCTCAATTCCTCTTGCACTTTGCTCACAACTTGCTTCTCCCTTTCTCAGCTCTCCTTACTCCCTTGTGCCCTCCTTCCAAGTCCTGCAGCTTCCTCCTCCAGAACACCCTGCCTTGGTCTGGTTCTCCGGTCCCCTACCCCATCCTGAGAGTCCAAGTAGTTCTGGCTTCCTGTTGTTCCTCAGATTCTGCCCCAAGGAGACTTAACCACTTCTAGATTCAGACCACATCTAACCCTTGACCCCCTCCCCAGCCCAGATCACCTTGCCAGTGTGTCTAAGCCAACTAGCTGCCCGCTCTTGCCTGGTTGAGCGTTCCCAACATTCAGGTTGCATTTGGTGGTTGGTGGTTGAGGCCTAGTCACACTGGCAGAGGCCACGACCAGCCTGTTTCTGCTTCTCCTTCATCACTGCACCCTAGCAGCTTTTACGTCTGACACACTTCACACATGCACACTTTAGGATCTGGTCCTCTCAGTGACCTTGGTCACTCCCTGCTGCCTCCTAGAATCACAAGACAGCTGCCCCTGAGCATCTCTCCTGCTTATGCCAATCCAGAGCCTTGCTCTACAGCTTCTAGGATAAGATCCGAGCTCCCCAGAACAGCTTCCATTCCTGACCAGCTCTTCTGTCCTCTGTTCTCTAGCTGTGGGTTCTGGTCACCATTCCTGGGGCTGGCATGTGCTTTTGTCCACCATTTTCTCCTGCAGTGCCGACTCTCGGTGAGGAACCAGGGTGACAGTTGAAGGGTCAGTGTGTTTGACCCCCATCTTTGATCATTCTGGGAGCACAAACTGTCACGAGATACTGGCCAATAAAAGTTGCTGTTCAGCCATGTTTATTTTTCCCCCCCAAAGGAATTTTTTGTGTTGCTTTTGTAACTACTTAAAGTGGTATGTTAGTCAGCTTTTTGTCCCTCTGGTAAAATATCTGAGAATATCAACCTAGAGGAGAAGAGATTTATTGTGGCTCACGGGTTCAGAGTCCTTCGGTCTGTGGCGATTTGTTTTCCTTGTGTCTAAGGCTGTGGTGAAGTGGAAACTTCATGGCAGAAGGTCATGGGGAGGAAGGCTGGTTACCTCAAGGTAACCAAGGCAGAGAGAATGAGAGCCTGTGCTAGAGGGTGTCTGTCTTCCACTTTTGTTCCCTTGGAGCCCCCAGGCCCACATTCAAGGTGGGCTCTTCCTCAGGTCACTGTCCCACATGCCAGTCTTCCTTTTTTTTTTTTTTTTGGTCTTTTTGAGACAGGGTCTTGCTGTGCGGTTTAGGCTGGCCTTGAGCTCACTTTGTAGCCCAGGCTGGTGTCAAACTCACAACGATCCTCCTGCCTCAGCCTCCCAAGTACTGGGATTACAGGCGTGCCGCACCACACCTGGCTCCAGTCTTCTCTTGAAACAACACTCGGACATACCCAAAAGTAGGCTTTCTAATTTCCTAGATATTTCTCAATCTAATTATATTGACATTCAAGATTAATATCATAATTGAAAACATTTATTTATAAACTAAGCTTTTTTTTTTCTGAGATAGGGTCTTGCTATATAGTTTAGGCTGGCCTTGAACTCGCAGTGGTCCTCCTGTCTCAGCCTCCCAAGTGCTGGGATTACAGGGGTGCACCACTAAGCCTGGCAGAATTAAGCTTTTTTTTTAACTAAATTTTTGCCAGGCATGGTGGTGCACCCCTGTAATCCCAACTCTTGGGAGGCTGAGTCAAGAGGATCATTGTGAGTTCAAGGCCAGCCTGGGCTACAAAGTGAGCTCAAAGCCAGCCTGAACTTCATAGTGAGACCCTGTCTCAAAAAGACCAAAAAAATAAAAATTTAAAAAAAAAATTAACTAAATCTTAAAAAATTGCACAACTTAATGGGCCTTTAGTATATTCACAAAGTTGTTCAGTGGCCATCACCACAACCAATTTTAGAACATTCTCAGCACCCCAAAAAGAAACCTCTTCCAACTCCACCCATTTCCCTCAGCCCCGGCAACCACTTAAACCTGCTTTCTATCTCTGGATTTTGCCTATTCTGGACATTCTGTATAAACGTGGCCATATGGTAAGCAGCCTTTTGTGTCTAGCTTCTCTGACTGAGTATCTTGTTTTTCCAGGCTAATGCTGCATGTCAAGGCTTCATTTTTTTTTTTAAATGGGTAAATAAAATCCTGCTGTGTGGTTGGACCACGTTTTATTTATCCACTCAGCCACTGATGGCTGCCTGGGTTGTTTCCACCTTCTGGCTCCTATGAATAGTGGTGCTGTGAATGGTCTGGTGCGAGTTTCTATGTGGACATGTGTTTTCATTTCTTAGGTGTAAATCCCTAGGAGTGGAATGGCTGGGTCCTATGGAAACTATGTTTTAACTGCTTGATGAGCTGCCAAGCTGTTCTCCAGAGTGACTGCACCATTTTGCGTCCTCATCGTTGGGCAGGTTTTGAAAGCTTGTTGTCCCCTCCACTTGAGGGAGCAAACTGAAACTGGGTTGGGGGTGCCTCACATGTCCACCTCTGTGTCTGCTTCCAGCTTCCATGACGACGCCCCCAAGGACTACCGCCAAGTCTCTCTGACTGCTGTGAAGCAGCGATTTGAGGACAAGCGCTATGAAGACACCAACCAGGAAGAGGTACCTCCCCCGCCCTGCCACCTGGGTGTCTGATGGGGGTGCAGAGTGGGATCAGGGTTCTGCAGCCTCACCCAGTGCCTCTTCTTCCCTCTTGCTGACTCTGGCTTCCCTAGGTGCTGAGCTACAGCCAGTTGTGTACAGCACTGGGGGTGAAAGAAAGCCCAGAGCCCGCATCTTTCCTCAATTCAGGGGAGATCTGCCCGTTCCTCAGCTCTCCCTCTGGGAGGAGAACAAAGCGGTGAGTCCCGTGCCCACCCCCCCCAATCCGGAGGCCACTCTGCGTGTGCAGGGCGGTGCTACAGGCAAGGGCTGAATTTTCTCACTGACCCCTCGGCTATCTGAGTTCCACGTAGGTGAACCTGCACTTGAACCCAGGCAGTCTGACCTTGAATGTGTTCTTGAGCTTCATTGCCCTCAGCTCCTTTTTCATAGGTGTCTGCCTCTCTTGCTTTATCCTGGCTCCCTCTGAGGGACAATGGTTCTGAGCACAGTTGATTCTGACTTAGGCTCTGGCCTTGCCTGTGCATCCTGAGGTGTTCTCCTCCATGGATGTTGCTGTCACTCCTGCACTTGGGTTGTAACCTGATTAATATTCTCATCATTTCTTTCCGTCCCCTTGTATCCTCCCTTTTTGCTTGTGTGTACTCCTATTTATTCCCATCATGCTCTCTTTTTGGGGGTGTGTGGTGTGGTGAGAGAGTCTCCCTGTATAGTTCAGTGGGTTTTTTTTTTTTCTTGTTTTTTTTTCTGGTACCGGGAATCGAACTCATGACCTCGCACTTGCCAGGCAGGCGCTGTGCCGCTGAGCTAAATCCCCAGCCCCTCACTGTATAGTTCAGATTGGCCTTGGACTCCCTGTGTGGCCCAGGCTGGCCTCAAACTCATGGTGATCCTCCTGCCTCAGCCTCCCACTCCCATCTCTCTTATCACTGTCATCACTGTATTTCCTGGAATAACTTCTCCCCACATTACCCATCTGAACAATTCCTGTTGATTCTGCAAAGCCCTGGTGAACAGGACCGTCTTTGTGCTGCTGGCTCTGCCTCTGTAACTGCTTGGCATCCCCTGTACCCCTAGCTTCCTGAGAGAGGTTACTGCACAGTTGAATCATTCCTGTTACATCACAGGGCCAGGCAGGACTACCTCCATGAGTGTGTGGGGAGTATGACCCTGGTCACAGTCCCTTGAACTCCAGGGAAGCCCCAAAGAAGTAGCTGATAGAGAAGCAGCCTAAGCCACCCCCATGATGCACTACAGCATTGCCACTGGGTTGAATATAGGTGACGAGGGCCCACCTGAGAAGGCCACCACTTACATCCTACTCTGCAGATGACAACCCGACTATCCAGGGATAGGGTCACACACAGGGGAAGGCCGGAAGATATATATCTGTGCCTTGGGAGGTGGAATTCCTGGCCCCCACCATAGCTAGTCTCACTGTGTTAAACTTGCTTCCTAGCAGCCCCCCTAGCCCTGTCAGTCATCTGAAAGGGACCTTGTCAGGTTATACTGAGGTAACTTTGTCCATCCCTTGAACTCTGGAAGCAGAAAGACTCAGCAGAAATGGTGGCTTCTCCCAGAAACAGGCCCATACTCTAGCTTCAGCCCTGATCCCAGGTGGGCAGAGGTGCCAGCACTCCCTGGGGACAGCCCCAGCACTGCCTGCATCTTCTCTGACCACATCCTGGAGGATGATTGGCCCAGGTTCCTCTAGCTGACTAGGTTGAGCCAGAGTTCACACCCAGACAGAGCCTTCCCTCAAGGCTCACACTGGTTGTAGCCTCACAGGTGTTCTCTACCCAGCACATCCTTCCAGAGCACATGGGAGGCCCAGGGCTGAGCAGGTGTTTGAGGCTGGTGCATGACTGGAGCTTCCTGGCTTTCCCTATTTCATAGGAAGCGGGAGAACAGCATCCAGGAGGACCGAGGCAGCTTTGTCACCACACCCACTGCCGAGCTGTCCAGCCAGGAGGAGACACTGCTGGGCAGCTTTCTGGACTGGAGTCTGGACTGCTGCTCTGGTTACGAGGGTGACCAGGAGAGTGAGGGCGAGAAGGAGGGTGACGGTGAGTGTGTAGCAGAGGGACACTGCACAGGAGCAGCCTTCTACTGAGGGTCTCCTGCACCCAGCAGTCAAGGTCTGGCCCTAGCCAACTGGTACCACACCCTCACCTAGGTGAGTTTGTCCTAACCCAGAGGCATAAGAGCAGGCCCCTTAGACACCAGAGCTCAGGGTGGGAATGGGGATTACTGCTACTCCACAGGGAGGGAGAGGATTTAGGTACTCCTGTGCCCCGCTCTATCTAACTGGGTCTGTGTTGGTGGAAGGCCCTCATAGGACAGGGGACAGGGATCCTAGCTGGAGTTCCTAATTAGGTCTTTCTAGAGGATCGGTGAGATGTACCCACATGGTATATATAAGTCCCTCCCTACCCCCTATAGACTGGAGGAGGTCCTGTCCCCAGTGTCCTAAAAAACAGACTTCTACCTTGGGCAGATTTTTTAGGCCTTTCCAGTTGCTTAACTTTGTGTCCACTCAGGGAAGATAAGTAAGTCAGACAGCCAGTTGCTACCTTCCACTGCCCTCCTACAATGAGAGAAGCATGTCACCCACAGCTTTCAGCTGAGTGATATAAGGGACCACAGCCAGGTAGGGGATATTTGACCAGGTGCAGGAGGCGGTAAACTGTCTTGGCTATGAGCCAGAGTCTGGACTGCCCAGGTCCTGACTGCGCAGAGAGGGTTGGTTACCTCTGATGCTCGAGCTATCGCATGACCTCCCCCATCCCAACATTTCCCACAGTAACAGCTCCCAGTGGTGTCCTCGATGTCACTGTGGTCTACCTAAACCCAGAAGAGCACTGCTGTCAGGAATCGAGTGATGAGGAGGCCTGCCCAGAGGATGAAGGACACCAGACGCCAGGTACTCAGACACCTCCAACGCCAGGGCCCAGGCCACTTCTCTGCAAGAGGAAGCCCGGCAAGGATATCACGACCTCAGGGTACTCCTCTGTCAGCAGCACAAGTCCCACAAACTCTGTGGATGGCAGCTCAGGGGACCCTCCGCAATCTACCTCAGTGCTGTCCCTGGGCAGCGACTCAAACACACATCCCTGCCACCATCAGGCCAAGAAGTCATGTTTACAGTGTCGTCCCCCAAACCCCTCAGAGAGTACTCTTCCCCAGCAACAAGTGAAACGGCAAAATCTATCTACTCACAGTGACGAGGACATGAACTTGGGCTTCCTGAAGCTGTGAGTGTGTGTTAGTGTGTCTGTTGCAGTGAATGTTTACCAAGGAGGGCTGCTGTTCTGCTAGGAGGAGTTGGGGGTACTGCAGGTGGGAACTGTATTGATCTGGGGGCAGTTCCACACAGCAGAGGGGTAACTGGTGGGTACTGAGTTTCTTTCTCTAGGAAATTCCTGTGCAGGCCCTCAGAACATCATATCAATGTGAAAAGCTCAACTCCTCTTTGGAAAATTTCTCTCCAAAGCAGTCAAACCATGCCAAGTGAAGCCCACCTCTCTGTACCTCCTGTGTCCCACTGTCTGGAAAAATGAAGCCTGTATTTGTCCTGGTCTTCTCAGCCCCTCAGAGCTCCATGCCAGGAGCTGAGAGGTTTCACAAGAACACATGTGGCCCAGGTAGTCAGTCTGGCGCAGCTTGAGTCCCTGGCCAGCATCTGTCTGACTTTGGGCCTCAGTGGGTGCTCACCGCTGTACGCTCACCCACCTTGGCCTGCACCCGATATCCACTCCCTTCCGGGTAGTCAACCTCATGGTGAGGGGACCTGTGTCCCTGCACATCTGTGTGTACTGCGCCATGACTGCCAGGTGGGAACCATGTTCCCTTCCCCTGACACTCTCTGCCCCTCTTGCAGGAGTGTTTGTCTGTGTCCCTGTGGTGTCCACGCAAACATTTCTCTTTGCACTGAATTTCTGGGCCATATTTCCCCCTTTATTTCTAGGTTTCTTTCTTCCAAGATGAGAGCAGAGTTACCATTTAAAATAAGGAGTATTAAAAAACAAGAAATTGGCAGCATTAATTTAGGCTCAGCTGAAAAAAGATCAGACATCAGCCTCTCCATGTTATCCTGGTACCTTTTTTCTACTTTTGTTTATTTGTTTGGGGTGTTTTGTTTTTATTTCTCTGTTTTTTACAGTACTGGTATTGAACCCAAGAGTCCCCACTGAGCTACATCCCCAACTTTAAAAATTTATTTTGATGCCGGGCGTGGTGGCGCATGCCTGTAATCCCAGCACTTGGGAGGCTGAGGCAGGAGGATCACTGCAAGTTCGAGACCAGCCTGGGCTACAAAGTGAGCTCAAGGCCAGCCTGAACTGCATATTGAGACCCTGTCTCAAAAAGACTAAAAAAAAAAAAAAAATTAGTTTGAGAAAGAGTGTCACTAAGTTGCTCAGGCTGGGCCTGAACTTATGATCCTCCTGCATGACCCTCCCAGAGTGTTGGGACTACAGGTATGCACCACCTTGGGATATGCACCACCTGCTTATCCCAGCACTTTTTATGCAAAAAGGTTTTTCCCAGAGGTTAGCCAGAAAAAAGTTCAAGTCATCTGTAATATCTGAGATGAACAAGAGGCAAAGAGCAGCCAGTGGGGTTTGCCTTTATCTGATCCCAATTGTAGATCTGCTATGGATTCTGTAGGGAAAAAAGCAAATCCTGCTTTCCCTTTCTTACTGGCCATGGAGCCAGATTTCTGCCTCAAAAGTAACAGGGCGGGGGATCTAGCTCAGTGACAGAGCACTTGCCTACTATGCATTAACCCCTTGGCTTGTGAGCCTTAGAGGAAGCACCCCAAACAGTGCCTGGGGAGTTTGCTGAAGGCCAGTCACAGACACATCACCTCTGCTAGGGTACTCTCTTGTTTCCTCTTGAATGTAACAGAACCACATGGCCAGCAATGTTCCAAGTGCTCTTGAACCAGAAGTAGGGGGAAAGGGGAAAGTTGACTCAGTGTTCACTTTGCTGTGTGCCTGTGTGTATGTGGATGTCCCCATGGCAGCTGTCTTTGCTACTGTAAATTCTAACCACCCTGGCTGGGGCATGGTGGGGATGAAACCCCAGGCATTGGAATTGTAGACCTGTCCTGACTGCCCCTGGGTGTGTGTGAGCCTGTTCCTCATCTGTAAGATGGGGCAATAATACCTACCTCACAGGGGTGTTGTGAGGATTAAATGTAATGACAGTGGCACATGGGTGATAACTCATCACTTAACTGTCTCGCCTCTTATCTGTGGTTCCCCTGATCAAGATCTCTGCTCCACTCCAGATAGACTTAGTTCTCTGCCTTCTTCCAGCCTGCACCTGTGGGAGGAAAGCGCTCCACGAACACCTGGGAGCACCTGATTCTGCTGTAGGGTCTCTGTCTTATAGTAAAATTTCCCTCATTGATGAGACAAAATCCTCCACACCCAAAGCTGAAGGGGGAAAGGTTTATTGAGCTCACAGTTTGTAGATGTTTCAACCCATAATTGGCTGACTCCAAGGCAGGGTGGTACATGGCAGAGGGGCAATAGTTTATGGCAGTGGAAGACACCAAAAGCAACAAGAGACAGACAAGCCTCTTTCCCTTATATTGTATCCCGTCTTACTGGATGAGAATGGTGCCAATCCAGTCAGCAGATTGAACCAGCAATCACCCACCCTTAACCCCAGCACCGCGCTACAAATCAATCACTCTATATTCAGCCACCTCTGAAGAAAAAAACTATGACCACGTGAGGCTTTAGGGGGACATCTGGACACAAACTAACAGTCTGCTTGGCTCTCCTACATACCATTTGAAGATTTTCCTCTCCTACTCTATAGGTGCTACCTGTGTCCCAGCCCCCTTTCGGTTCTCTGCCAGACACCCTCACCACACAGCCCCCCCATGTGTTTTAACCCCTCTCCATTCTTAAAACCCTTCCCCCAGCCAAGGATGGTCATCCAGCTGCCATGTGAGATTTCTTGGCCTCTTTAGAGGTTGGAATTTCTGTTCTCTCCAATTCTGCTGGAGCTGCTGTCCTCACTTCTAGCAGCATCTGTATCCAGATCCTTTGGCAGGTGTCCCCTGAATCACTGAGGCCTGGGTTTCACCCCATCGTATACACTGCATCTTGCCCATGGCCCCCTCCTGGAACACTCTGGACCCCCGCCGTTTCCCCTGCTGTCAGTTCTCTGTGCTCCCTTCCTGTCTGTATATCCCACTTGGAGCCAGCTTGCCACGCCCATGGTTCATGTACACCTGCTCTGGATGTGGGCTTCATAACCCTCTATCCAGGTGCCTGACACTTTCCTGGATGGCATCACTTCATGTCATTTCCAAATGATATGTTCCCCCATTCACAATCCCAACAACATTCTTACCTCATCCATGTACCTGATCCAGTGCTAGCTGGCCCTGGGTTCAGCAAGACAGCTCATCTCTGTTTTAAGTACCTTCGACAAGGACAGATTAAGACATAAAGCTGCCGGGCGTGGTGGCACCCACCTGTAATCCCAGCACCCGAGAGGCTGAGGCAGGAAGATCCTTACGAGTTAGAGACCGGCCTGGGATACAAAGTGAGCTCAAGGCCAGCCTGAACTACATAACGAGACTGTTTCAAAAAGACCAAAAGAAAAGGTGTTCTAGGGGAATATAAGAATGATGCTCCCACGTACCGGTAATCCAAACCGGAAACCTGTGAGTCGCCTGAGGTCTTGCTGCTTCCTCCAGTTCCAACACTGAGCGGGAGTCTGTAGTGGGCGGGGCTAAGCGCTGGCCTCAGGATTGGGTAGCCTGGTCGGAAGGGGCGGCCTCCTGCGCGGAAGCCGGGAAACTGTAGCGGCTGCAAAACTCCAGGAATCGGAATGGCCGTCTTGCTACAGGCTGACTGTGCCCGTCGGTAGGTTCAGCACGGAGGGAACGGGGAGGGAGGGCGCGTGGCCCGAGGCCTGATCCCAGTCGGGCTGCTGAGCTCGGTGTATTCTCCCAGGCTGGTGGCCGAGCTTCAGGGCGCCCTGGACGCCTGCGCAGAGCGACAGCGGCAGGTGGAGCAGAGCTTGCGCGTCTCCCGGCGGCTGCTGCAGGCCTGGTAGGCAGATTCCAGCAACCCCTGGCCAGACCTCCCTCGTATCCTCGGAATCATGCCTCAGGGACTGAGAGGCTGAGTCCATCCGCCCATTTCCAAGATGCCGGTTGTCAGCGCTATCTCCATTACTTTGCAGGCTCCAAGGCTTGTAGGGCTGTAGGATGGGATCTGTTTGAACTGTGGCTGGTCTGTCTTTGCAGGGAACCAGCTGGGACCACAGCTCTGGAGCCACCTCCTGGGTCAGAAACTAAAAAAGACCCTTCTCCAGGTAAACACCTTCCAGCTTCTCCAGGTGCTACCCCTGGGCTCTCTTGTGTGCAGTGCTAAGGGACCCATTCTGAGACCGTGGGGAGGAACCTCTGCATAATTCTTGGCTTTCACAGCATGCACACCAAACCCCCAAGACATCAAGGAGCTGGAGCTTCTGACACAGGCACTGGAGAAGGCAATACGGGTGCGGAAAGGCATCTCTAAGACTGGAGAAAGAGGCAGAACCCCCAGCCTGAAACCTGGGTCCACTGCTTTGTCTCCTGGCACCACTGCCTCTGCCTCACCCCAGTCCTCAAGCCGGACTGGCCACTGTTCTTCAAGGACAAGACCCACCAAGGGCATCCTTCAGACTAAGGTGCCTGCCAAGCACCACCCAGAGCACAGGCTTCCGTTGGCGGGAAACAGGTCTCCTGTGGGGATAGGAGCCCAAGCCACCAGGCTTGAGCCGAATCACAGGGAACAAATGACCCTGTCAGCTGCTCCTCATGCAGCAGAAACCTTCACACTCAAGGAGAAGGGGTAGGTTTCCCTGACAGACTGAAAAAACTTCCATCTCTACCTGCTTAAATCCCCTGCCAACAACGGGAGTCTGGGGCTTGGGGTACAGAGAGGCGAGGACATTGAACTGGATGTGGGAGTCCTGGCTACCACTCCATGAGGCTTATGTTCTTCAGCTGGCCAATTGGAGCAGGTGGCCGGGATGGTACCAGGTTTGACCTGCTGGAACCTGCCCTGCCCTGTCCCCACCAGCTACCCCTTTATCCACCCAGCCTAGGGGCTCTGGGTGGATTCTGGAGCACATGGGCTCTACTCATGTTTACACATGGTGTCCTCTCTTTTTTGTTGGTTTTTTTTTGGTTTGTTTGTTTTGAGACAGAACCTCACTATGCAGTTCAGGCTGGCCTTGAACTCCTGCCTCAGCCTCCCAAGGTGCTGGGATTACAGGAATGCGCCTCCATGACTGGCTAATAGTGTCCTCTCTTCTCTCAGCCCGGTGCTGGGATGGGCCAGTTCGATTGCCCCTGTGGAAGTCCCTTCCAAGGGTGCTTATGGTGGCACATACTTGCAGTCCCAGAACTTCAGGAGGCTGAAGCAGGAGGATTGCAAGTATGAGCCCAGCTAGAGCAATTTAGCAACTTAATCACATCCTGTCTCAAAATAAAATATAAAAAAAGACTGGGGATCTAGCTCAACACAAAGGCCCTGGGTTCAATCCCCAGAACCACAAAAAGGGCTGGGGTATGAAACTGGGGAGAGAGTAAAGAGCTAATGAGCTATGATCAGGAAACAGGACTGGCAGTCCCTAAAGTAAGATGAGTTTACTCTGAGCACTGGCTTCTCTGACAGGACCCTGCTGCAGCTGCCCATGGCCTTCAGGAAGGTGGCTTCCCGGAATTCCTGGTAAGGCTTGGTGGGGACAGAAAGACATATGGGAAATGTCAGCAGCTCAGAGACATACAGGCAACACTTTGTAGCAGGTTCCTCTGTTTCGTTACCAGGCATTGTCACTGTGTTCAATCTGTCCAGCTAGGACTACTATAGTTGCCTCAGGTTCAGGGAGCTTTGAGATCCCACCTCAACCATTCACAAGCTGTGAGACCTGCACATGACCCTTGGTGTCCCCCAGCCCCAGTCTGGAGACAACGATAGGCTCAGATTCACAGAGATGTTGGGGATGGCAGGTTCAGGTGGTGCCTTTCAGGTGTTTGCACTATGCCTGATGCAGAGCAAGCATGTAGTAACTGTATGTAGTTACTATAACTTACCAGTCATAGTAACTGGTCACTGCCAGCTCTTTTATCCTTGATTTTTTGTGTGTGGGTGGTCTTTTTTGATACAGAGTTTCACTATGCAGTTCAAGCTGGCCTTGAACATACTTTGTAGCTTGGCTAGCCTTGAACTCAGTGATCCTCCTGTCTCAGCCTCCCAAGTGCTGGGATTCCAAGTGTGTACCACTGTACCTAGCTCAATTTTCTTTCAGTACTTTTTTTGTAGTGGGCTTTATATATGCTAGATAAGCACTACCACTGAACTCTACCCCTGTTCTTTTGCTTAGTATTTCCTTGACCGGCTCTGTTCCTTTGTCCCCTTGTCTTGGTCAATGTCCTTTAACTTTCCCAGTGTCTTTGAAGCCCCTGCTGGCATTCACAGGAGCCACATACCCAGCCTGGGGCCCCTACCCTCACCTTCCTCCCAATGACCAGCCCAATTGAGTAGAACTACCTCTCTTTGCTTCCTGGGGTGCCCTGGTATGTATTCCAGCCTGTGGACCCGTCTCAACTCCACACAAACCAGTGATGCAACAGATGCCACCAGTGCTGCCAAAACCCAGTTCCTCCAGAAAATGCAGAGGTCTGTATCCTTACTAGGACTATGGGAGCCTGGTGGCTTCCTACTTTACACTTGGCAGGTTTAAGGAGCAGCCCCAGGAAGTTCCTTTGTGGAATGGCAATGGGCTTTCTTCAGACCCCATTTGTGGTGGGAGCGTGGGGCCTGGCCATAGGAGAGTTTCCCTGACCCACGTCCAGTCGAGCATATCCAGCTCCAGGTTCAGTGCCGTGGAGGTAGAGATGGAGGCCCAATGCCTGCAGAAAGCCTGTGCGCTGCTTAGACTACGCATGCAAGAAGAGCTCTCAGCAGGTCAGCAGCCTAGACTGGGGCTTGGGAAGGGGTGTGCGGGGCAGGTTTCAGGACAAGCATGGATCCAGCCTGCTCTCCCTGTTGTATAGCCCCTGAAGACTGGATGCAGGAATACCGATGCCTGCTCACCCTGGAGGGGCTGCAGGCCATGGCTGGGCAGTGTCTCCATAAGGTGCAGGAACTGTGTACAGGTGAGGCTCTATCCATCCACCACCTGTGCCAAGGTCTGTATCAGAGTCAGGGCACCTTAGCCCACCTTGCCCTTACCTCAAGGAAGGGTGCCTAGCCCAGGGACTAAAGGCAAGCACCTACACTCTTCCCCAACCTGGTACACACAGTGTGCTGGGTTGTCACCAGTTGTCCCTGGGACCAGCTGGCCATCCTTACTTGCTTATGACAGCTCCCTTAACCTCCTGACAGACAAAATCTCACCAAATTGAGCAGTTTGTCTACTCAGGTACTTAAAGGGTAACTGTGAGCAGCAGAGCTGCCTTTCTCCTTTGGTGCTGCATTTTTTTTTCTCGTACTAGGGATTGAATCCAGTACCTTTTGCCTGCGAGGTAAGTACCCTACCACCGAGCTATGTCTTTGCCTTTTTTTCTCTCGATAGAGTCTCTCTATGTAATTCAGACTGGCCTTGAACTCACTTTGTAGCCCAGGCTGGCCTTGAGCCAGCAATCATCAGCTTCCCGAGTGCTAGGATTACCCCATCCCTTTTTATTTTAATCTGATAGAGTATCATGCTAAATGGCCTAGGCTGGCTTCAAACTTAAAATCCTCCTGTCTCAGTTTCTGAAAAAGCTGGTACCAACATGCCCAGCTCCTTTGCATCTTTTAAGTACAAATTTTAAGAGAGAAGGTCTATCATCTATCAAAAACAAAGTCAAGCTGTAGAAAGTCACACTTAAGCACAGGTGCCAGGTGTGGTGGTGCATATCTGTAATCTCAGCACTCAAGAGTCTGAGGCAAGAGAATGGTAAGTTTGAAGCTAACCTGGGCTACTTAGCCAGTTCAAAGTCAGCCTGGATTACATAGCAAGACCCTGTCTCCAAAAACAAAAAAGAAACCCAGGGGGTAAAGGGTAACTCCACAAAGTTCTGTCCCTGCTATACCAAGCCCAGGCAGGCCTACCACACTGCCAAACATTGGGCTGTTCTGAAAGCCCAGATTTTCACCTTTTAAAGGCAAGCAAGCCAGATATGGTGCACTGCTGTAATCCCAGCTGTGCAGAAGGCTGAAATGAGAAATCAGAAGTTTGAGACCAGCTGGAGCAACTTAGCAAGACCCTGTATCCAAACAAAACAAAAAGGAAATAAGTTGGGCATTGTGGAACATACCTATAATCCCAGCGCCTAGCTTCCAGGAGATTGAGGCAGGAGGGACTGAAGTTCAAAGCCTACTTGGGCTATGTAGTGAGTTCAAGGCAAGCCTGGACTACCTAGAGAGACTGTCAAAAACGGGGTGTGTGGAGGGTTGGGATGGAGCTCAGTGCTCTCTAGGTTCAATCTCCAGTATTCCACAAGAAAAGCCAGGTGAGCTAGGGGTAGGGAGCAGGTACCTGGAAAGGCAGCCTTGGGACTGTGGGGTGGGCAGACCTCTCAGGAAGAGCCCCCACTCATGGCTGGAATGATGTGGGGCCCTGGGCCTGGCTGCCACCCCATAAGGCCATGTCCTCCGGTCTTCACAGCTCTGACAGAACAGTTGCCAGGACCTTGTCTCATGGGGAGGCCTCTCAAGGCCTCCTTGCCCTGTGGAGATCGTGTATGCACTTCCTGGGGCCCTCAGCTCCTCCTCTACTCCAGCACCCAAGAGCTACAGACCCTGGCAACCCTCAGGCTTCGGGTGGCCATGCTGGAGCAGCAGGTCCACCTGGAAAAGGTACTTGCAAAGCAGAAGGTGAAGGGATGTGCACTGGGCACCGGGGGAGCCAATGCCATGCAGAGGGCTGGCACAAGAAAAGAAACCCTGGATTAGGGGGTTACTGGGCTCCTCTCCCAGGACCACAGAGGTGACATGGATAACTAAGCACCCCCAGCCTGCCTGTGGGCTGGGAAGGGCCCCAGATACACTGCATGCCCTGGTTGTGTGTGCCTTAGGAGGAAGGAAGGCTGGAGCATGGAAATTTGCCCCAGGATTTCCTGCTTGTTGGAGCCCTGCGCTAGCAGCTGAAACAGGGCCCCACTAAGACCATGACATTGCACCGCTCCCAGGTCCTGATGGCTGAACTCCTCCCCATGGTGAGCACCCAGGAGCCCCAGGGCCAGCCCTGGCTGGCACTGTGCCGAGCTGCCTATAGCCTGCTCTGCGAGGGAGGGGAGCGCTTCCTCACAATCCTGCAAGAAGACCCTGCTGACTGAAACTACAACCCAGGTCTTGGCATCCTGGGGCAAGGAAGCCTTTCAGAGAGTCCCCTTCTGGCTGGAGTAAAGTGAACTGGGATTGAGGAGAATTTCCCTGGTTTGGATACAAGGACCTGGTATAGATCCAGGGACTTGTACCTCACTGTGTGTGTACCTCACTGGGCTGCCCTACCTGTTCAGGGCTCAGCTTTCTGCCTTCCTGGGGCCCAGTAGCCCAGATGCAGGGGGTGAGGGGGGTGTTGTTTTTGTCTTCTTACTATATATCTAAGAACTGGTTGTACATTAAAACTACTACTTTAGGAAGCATATCTTTTAAAATCATACCAAAGTAGAATTTGGTAGAAGGTCCTTTATAGTTTTTATTTCCTTATAGTCTTATTGAACAAGAATGTACCAAGTTGGCAAACAAAACAAAACAAAACAAAACAAAACTGGGTGTGGTAGTGCACTCTTGTAATCCCAGCACTCGGGAAGCTGAGGCAGGAGGATCGTTGTGAGTTTGAGACCAGCCTGGGCTACAAAGTGAGCTCAAGGCCAACCTGAACTGCATAGTAAGACCCTGTCTCAAAAAGACAAAAA